TATGTTTATGTTTATAGAGACTAACAGACACCCAGGAAATTCACATAACAGCGGTTAACTTGGGAGATGTAGCACATTTTTTGCTATTTTATTTTATTTAGTGTGTATGTATTCCTTGTTGGTGTAAAAGAAAATAAGTCATGCACCTATCAGTAGCCAAAATCCAGAACACGGACACCACCACACGCTGGCGAGGCTGTGCAGCAGCACGGCCGTCATCCGCGGCTGGAGGGAATGCATATGGTGCAGCCGCTTCGGAAGACAGCTTTGAAGTCTCTCACAGAACTAAAGGTGCTTTTAAGCACACAATCCAGCAAGCCAGCTCCTTGGTGTTTATCCAAAGGAGTTGAAAACTTATGTCCACATAAAAACCTGCACACAGATCTTTATTGCAGCTTTACTCATAATTGCAAAAACCTGGAAGCAACCAAGATGCCTTCAGTTGGAGAACACATAAACGGTGGTCCATCCAGATAATGGAAAATTATTCAGCACTAAAAAGAAAATGACTTATCAAATCATGAAAAGACATGGAGGAACCTCAAACGTACATTATTACTAAGTCAAGAAAGCCATCTGAAAAAGACTATACGACTGTATAATGCCAAGTACATGACATTCTGAAATAGGCAAAATTATGGAGACAGTAAAAAGATCAGTGGTGGCAAAGAGTTAGGGGGCTGGGCGCGACGCATAGGCAGAGAGCACTGAGATTCGGTATGATACTATGGTGGTGGTACGTGTCATTTACATGCGTCAAAACCTAGAGAATGTACAACGCAAGAGTGAACCCTAATGTCAACTGCAGCCACTGAGGGATAATGGCGTATCAGTGTAGGTTCACCGACTGTAACTAATGTACCCGTCTGTGAGGGATGTCCACAGTCGGGGACGCGGGTATAACATCCTGACAATTAATTACATGTTCTATGGAAACTTCAGAGGTATTTCATATTAACTCTATTAAAAAAAAAAAAAAAACATAAATATTGTATTTTGCTCCTTGTCCTAGGAACTAGGGGTTTATCCTAAAGAAATAAGAATGTTCACTATAGCTTTTTTTAAAAAAAAAAAAAAAAAGGAAGAACTGAAAGATTTCAAATATCGACCAACAGGAAATTTTGCTGTTAAAAAAAAAAAGAAAAGATTAAATTATGATACGCCCAGGTTTGTTAGTTAAAAACTGGGTAATTGTAAAGGTGCTGATAGAACCAAGTCCCACACATACTGATAAGAGCAAACTGCTGAACAGCTCAGATTGTGATAAAACGTTTTCATATTAATATACATAAAAATATCGGAAAGCATATATGTCGTAAGCAGTGACTATAAGGCTTTAACTGTCCACATTATGCATTCTATATTGCTTGAACTTTCTACAACAGCATTTGTTATTATAACCACAAAATAATTACGTGAACATGCAGTTACAGGGAAACCAGGGGCCCACAGGCGTCCTGACGCGGGGCTGTCTACCTGCTGGAAACCCGCGCACGTTCCAAACCACCAATGTCTGCGTGAAGTCAGAACCAGCGCTGGGCAACCGGCACTGCCACGGGCTTTCAAAACAAAAAGAGGCAAGTGGAAAAGGTGGAAAAGCTTCTTTTTCACCTACACACTGGGGGAAATGACAGATGGCAAAGATCCAACCATGTGAGCTCGTCTGCGTTAACACTGTACTTACATTTCAAGGCCTACAACTAGACGAGTCATGGAATGTGGTTCCAGAGTCTCGCACGCTGGCGCCTGCTGCAGGGAACCACACTCACACTGGGGCAGGAAAGCCGATTCCTGTCAGCCCACCATTCCATCCCTAGGGATCTAGCCTAAGAAATCACTAAAAACACAGCAAAAACAACAAAAAGAGGTCAAAGCTTTATGGTTCGTTCAGTCCTTCACTCAGCCTTCTTTTACAGAAGCAACACAGTAGGAACTATCTAAGCTTTCAATAGAATAATGGTTAGATACACGGACAGATCCACGTGACACACTATGAAAATGCGCACAACGTGGGAAACGTTCTGGAAGGTCAACGTTCAGGAAGACAACACGCAGACAGGTACAGCAGGCCCTCAGATAACCTCGTCTTGTAACGCTGAGGAGAAAATGCAGATGGGCTCCCGGCCGGGGCCTCTGTCCGTGGAGGGAGCACGGTCTCCCCAGCCTCGTGCGTTTTCCCTCCCCCATCACAGCGGTGTGCTCGCGAGGTGAATGGCGCATCTGCATTGTCCCAGTGTGGGTGGCGGTACGTGGCCCTGAGATGGAAGGGCGTCCTGTCTAGGGTGGTCCCACCTTGTGCCCTGAGCCGCCAGGGACAGGCTCCAGCTACCTGTGACCCTGACCTGAGGTGGGTGAGCTGATCTTATTTGTTTTTATTCATCTTTCCTCAATGTCTGTAGAGCTCATGTGCATTTCAATGTTTACTATTAGAAGTGTTTGGGGTCATTTAGAAGTTTGGTGGTGTCTTTGTGACCAGAAATGTGCCGTAGGAACTTAACTCTTGTCTGTACCAGTCAGCCCAGGATGCAACTGGTTACACGTTGTTTTGCTTATAGTCGCAGTTTCTAAGAACTTACTGATGACGTCAAGTGAGGATTTGCTGTACACACCCACGTATACAGAAATACCCTCAGCTCACCTACATAAATATGCATGGAGGAAGGACAAGGATTGGAAAAACATCCCAAACTATTTAACAGTTATCTCTGGATAATGGCTTAATGAGTCAAGTGTTTCTTTATACTTTTCTGTGTCTTTTGAACTTTCAGCAATATATAAATGATACTTGTAGACTGGTTTTTAAAGTTTAAAGTTTTAACCAATATGCGAAGGGCTTACTTTAAAACTGCAAGTTTATTTTAGGCAATACCAGTATTTAAAAATCTATTAACTTTTTATTCTGCTCTTTTCTTCTAGGTCTAGAAAAAAATAAGATAACATTAAAATTAAATTCTGACTTCAAAGATGCCAACGGGTAATACAATAGCAGGAGGCACTAACGCAATCGTGAACTGTAATAACAGGACAGTAGTTGAAATGAAGAGAAGACTGAAGATTAATTAACTCGACCCGAGAGATGCGTTTAGAACACGAAGCAAGGGGAAGAGTCTGCGAACATGGACACTACTCGCGGCTCTACCGCTGGCGCCCCGTGGCACCATCGCAGCCTGCTCTGAATTGTGAAATGCTATCAATAAAACGGGGACAAAAATTTCCTCTCGGTTACTGTAAAAACTGAATATTGGAGCACAGAAGCATTTTAATCCAGTGCTTGGCATGAAGGCTCACTATCCTTAATACTCAGTTCTGGGTACTGTAACTGAAGACGGGCATTGTGACCAACTGCGACATATCCAGGAGGGCAACAGGCGTGACGAGAGACCCCAAAATCTAAAAACCACTTGAAGAACCAGGTAGGTTTACCCTGGACTGGGATGACAAAGGAGGTAGGATGACTGAACATCTGAAAGACTCATATGTGAACAGACTTATTTAGCAGATTCAGGAAAACAAAGCTTTACAAGTTAGACTTTTACAGGCAGACTTCAGCTCTGTTAGAAAGGACATGTTCAAAAATGAAATAGATGGTTTTTTGTAAGTTACTGGAAGGGGCGAGAAAAAGGAAATACTTTAAAAGTCCTCCCCGGCACAGTAAAGACATCAGAAACTCCAACACACGTCCTGCCAGTCTGTCCTCCATTCCAAACTCATTGAGAAGCAGCTTGATGGAGGAAATTAAGGCACTCTTAAATCAGGTTACACTGAGATTATTTTATTTTTGCTAAATTTAGCATTACTAAGAGTCATCAAATTTGGACCAAAAAAAGATTCTCGTTGGTCAAAATTAAACATGTGTAACATACGAGCTCTTTCCATCTTAACATGCTGACTC